CCAGTTTTCAAACTATAAATAACCTAGTCTTTCATTAGCACAAGACACGAGCACTGGAATTCAAAACTATCTCTCACACTTAAAAAATCTATGCTCTCTTTCTTGTGCTACTTGCTATTGTTCTAAGTTAGCCGGCTGCAAGCCAAGGCTAACCATTTGTGCTCTCTTGTTCGTTCATTCTGCTTACTCTCCTCTTCACTGGTATGTTCTAGTTTCAATTCAAAGTTCCAAACACAATATGATTCTCTTGTTGTTTGAGTTCTTTTTGTTCCTAGTTTGCTTCTATTTGTGGTTTTGTTGTGAAATTTGTAGTTGATAGCTACATTATTAGCATGATATCTTGTCTTTCCATCCCCTTGAGTTCAGTATGATTCCCCTTCTATTTGTTTTTGCATGTCTACACTAGTCATCTCTTGCTTGTTATATGTTTACCACCATGGATCTCCAAAATCCCTATCCCCTTGCATGTAAGTATGTTCTTTATGTTTGATTCTGTGACTATGTCTAGTTAGCTACTTCTGGGCATGACTATTAATTCCTAGGTCTTTGCTTAACTATGTGTGTCCTATGTATTCCCAATCCCCCCTTGTACACCTGTTTGTAACGACCAAACCTGTTTTGATGCCATGACTCCTGGCTGTGCATGAACCTATCCTAAGGTGTTTGAACTTTGTTAACTACTCCAATCTCTTTTTCAAACAATCTCTGTTGCTTTACTTTCAAAAAAACTTTTGTTAAATACAATTTCTTACTAAAACCTTTTCAACTTGGGTTCGTCACTTTTCACTCTACTCTTAGTCAATAAGTTCTGCCCCCTCTAGTATGTGTACTGCCTTGGGATCCTTTTAAGAACCCTATGAAATCTGGCATACTGAGGCTGGCCTTTCCACACTGCACTTGTTCAATTCTTGGTTGCTAAGTCTAGATGTAAGCATTTCCCGGGATCCTTTAGATCCTTAGGGAACTTTGATGCACCTAGACTCTAATTTGTCTATGGAACTGAGGCATATGAGGCCATTGGAGGCTTTGGGAAATCTGGGCCTAATTGAAGGCTCCCTATAGAATAGCTTTTTGATTTTCTATTTCTACTTATGTAATTCATTTATTGGTCTGTAATAATTTGTAAACAGATATTGGGGTATTTAGTAAAAAGGGTGGGTATATGCATGCTTTACGGGGTAATACGAGTAGAAATCCTGCTCTTAGGACCTAACTTTAAAGTCTGTTTTCTCTACTAAATAGAAAACATGCTCATAGGACTTTACTCTTTAATCTGATTGCTTTGTCTAATATAAATCATGTCCATAGGATTTCACTTTAAGTTTGTTTGCTCATCAAGTAGAAACCATGTGTATAAGGTTTTACATTCTGTCATGTTTAGAAACCATGCTTATAGGTTCCAAACAATCGTGTCTTAAAATCAGTTCAATAATAGATGACATGCCTATAGGACCTGATCCAAATTCAGTTACAACGAGTATTTATGCAAATCGTTAAAATCAGTGTTATGCTTAGATATCATGCATATAGGGAGCTCTACTCGCAATTCTGTGTGTTAATCTAATTTAGTCTAAATAATCAACTTTATCACGCCTAGTTCATTTCTGAACTGGTTTTTATTAAGTATTAAGCATTTTCTGAAACAAGTTCTTTCAAACTGCTTCAATCTCATTCGATATCATGTCTAGAGGTATTAAAGGAGTCTGTTTCAAAAACCTGTTTTGTTTCTGCATTAATACAGACATTAGTGCTTCGCGTGTATGCAAGACCTTAGGGCATTTTCAAAACTGCATTCTCTGAAACTGTCTCTATTGCTTAATGTTTTCTGATCCTAACAGGCTTTTCTTTTAAAAAGAGTCCCTAGGCAACCACTAGGGTGTAACTTCTGAGTCTAAAAAAGGGTTTGTCTATTTCTGTATATTCACTTAGATATCCTGCTTCAGGACATTGACTAATAAAAAACCTTAACTGTGCTTGAGTCATGCTGCTTATGTGTTTGTTTGAGGAGGAAACTCTGAGCCTCTTAATTGCTCCCATTATGTGTGAAAGTCCTAAATGCTTTTGATTGTTGCCTTAGAAATTTCGCCTTTTAAAACCTTAAGGGTACGTCTAGAACCACCTATAGGTAGAGGTCCTAACTCCCTCTAGGACCATTAAGAAGGGACGGGTAGCAGCACGCAATAGGAATCGTTGACCAAACACTCGCTTTGCATAACCAATAAGGGGATGGGAAGGGCATACATGGGATATGATGACTATGCGCTAATGTCACATGTAGCCCCTCATTGAGGAGAATTTACCGGACATTGCGTGGGGTGATCCTAAAGGATAACCAACCTAGGACCCCTCTTTACCAAATCCTTTCTTTATTTAAACCTTTGTTTTACAACTTGTTCAAACCTTTATCTTACTACTTGAGTTATTCTAACATACTTTACTTGCAACCTATTCAACCGTTTACTTGTAATGGACTAATTTATGAATATAATTTCGGCCGGGACCCATAGTTGTGGACCAAGAGGGGTGCCTAACATTTCTCCTCGAGGTTGCTTCGAGCCCTTACCGTAATCTCTGGTAATGCAAACTAACCCAAGAGTTAATCGCTCTAGGTGCCCTAATGCACCATAATCCGTTAGGTGGCAACTTTTCTAATACTCAATTTCCAAAAGTAAATGAGTCATTACACCCCTTGAATGTCGAAACCCGGACCTCTCCCCGTCAAAAAGGGAGGGAAAAGGGGGCGCGACATTTGTTACTTTGTGGCTAAGTCACTTTTTCCCAATAAATTGATAGGGTTTATTCCATTGTAAATGATCAAAAATATTAATAAAGAAATCTCTCTCTTTTCTCTGTAATCTTTTATTGTTTTATTTCACGTTATTAGCACGAAACTCTACCGTCTCAAAAAAAGCTCTTTGAGAAGACAAAGCAAATATGTATATCTCTCAAAGCAAACTTGGATCAAAGTTCAATTGTAAAAAATATTTGTTTAATTGATTCATGTACGACACATACAATATTCGCAGAGAAGAAATATTTTTCTCATTTATGTGTAAGGCAGTTGTTACTACGATTTTTGGTAGTAGTAATTTAACTGAAGGCTATGGAAGAGCTATTATATTCTGCTTAGGGGAACAATGCTTATCATATATAATGCAATATTCTCCTCCAAGTCCAGGAGGAACTTGTTGACTTTTAAAGATATCCGCCAAAATGGATAACATATTAAGATAATAGATGAGAATAATCTTGAATATCTCATCTTTGCCAAGAATGGGTCTGGCCAGAAAAAGGTTATTGGGAAGATCTCATCTTTGTCTTGTGGCTTGTATCGGACAATAATTAGGGCAATTGATGCACATTTTATCGCAAACCAAAATGTTACTAATTCCAATACTTTTGTACTTTGGACATATTCCCCACCTAGTGGGTCGTTTAGATATTTTACGATCTTAATAGATGCATCTTCTAGATGGTCTCATATGTGCCTATTGTCATCTCGCAACCTGGCATTTGCAAAATTAATGGCACATATTATTCTATTATGGGCAAAATTCTCTGATAATCCAATTAAGTCTATTCGATTTGATGATGATGCTGAGTTTTTATCCCAAGTATTTAATGATTATTGCTTATCAATTAGGATAAAAGTGGAACATCATGTAGCTCATGTTCACACTCAAAATGACCTTGCAGAATATTTGATTAAACGTCTACAATTGATAGCAAGACCGTTACTCATGAAAACAAGGTTGCCCACTTCTATTTGGGGTCGTGCCATTTTGCATGCAGCAATGCTAGTTCGTCTCAAACCAACAAATTATCATAAATATTGCCCGTTACAATTAATTTTGGGTCATGAACCTAATATACCCCATTTAAGAATTTTTGGATGCGAAGTATATGTGCATGTAGCACAGCCATATGTTTAGTTTGAATCACCCTCCATTATTCCCTACATTGAAACATTAATGAGACATTTATTAACTGCTCAATTTGCAGATTGTCGATTTGATGAGACACTTATTCCAAATTTAGGGGAGCAAATGGTGAAACCAAACGGAAAATTTTGTGAAAAAATCCATCATTATTTCATCTTGATCCACGTGCCTCTATTTGTGAAAAGAAGGTGTAAAAGATTATCTATTTGCAGGAAATAGAAAAATCAAATGCCAGATGCATTTACGGATCTGAAAAGGATAAAAAATCACATATCCCTACAGAGAATGTTCCAATCCGTATTAATGTGTCCCTGTTGGATAATCTTCTAGTGTCATAGCTAATTAGTCAAAAGCACGCCTAAAGCGTGGCAGACCATTGGGTTCTAAGGATCGAAATCCTAGAAAAAGTAAAACAAATGATGAAGATGACACTACAAAAGAATCTCATAAACAAATCTATGATTTAACCAATCTTGAGATTCATGACGAAATCATTGAGCCTGAGACTCAAGAAAATAAGGAACTATGAAAAAATTCAATCGATATTGAGGCGAATTTGAATCGATTGGATATAGTGGTGGCTTATATCTTTGCATATAATGTTGCATCTAGTATTATGCAAGATAGTTGTATGAATTTGAGAAAGGAAAAATCTTGACTGAAAATATTTTCTCTGTATTTCCAAAAAATGAATGATCTTAGGCACTATACAGTCTAGTATATATTTATCGTAAAAAGAATCTAAGATATAACTACCTATACACTTATCTTTTATTCTATTAGCTACTCTATAACAAACTCACATGTTATTTACAAGAATAAAAAAATGTATGTAAAATAAAGACTTAAATCTTATCTTCAGCTTCTTCTAGTAGGCCACCCTAATGAACGAAATATTTCAGTGAGCCCAAAATAGTGCAGAAGCCCAATACTTCTATAAGCCCAATGAATGTGAGTCTTTACAAGATGTTCAAACATCAGATGTATCGAACATCTTAGTACCTTCTGCCAAAGACTAATTCTTCTTCTTCTTCTTCTTTACTCTTTCATTCTTCTTCTTTATCTTGAGCAGAACTTCATGAATCCTATAATTAGAATGGGGTTTCTTCTTCCCAACATCCCCCTCAAGTTGGAGGGTAACCTTGTGACCCCCAATTTGCTCAAAATTTCTGAGTGAGAAACCCCTGAAAGTGGCTTTGTAAAAAGATCCGCCAATTGGTTTTTAGAAGGAACAAAAGATAGAGTAATTAGGCCGAAAAGGAACTGTTGACGCACAAAATAACAGTCAATCTCCACATGTTTTGTGCATTCCTGAAAGGCGGGGTTACGAGCGATGTGAATGGCTACTTTGCTGTCATAATGAAGAGGAATAGGAAGGTTTACTGGTGCAGAGAGTTCTTCAAGAAATAGAACAAGCCAAGTAAGTTCTGTAGTTACTCTTCTCATATATCTGTATTCTGCCTCTGCAGATGATAATGAAATTGACACTCGCTTCTTTGAATTCCAAGAAATAGGTGCTCCTCCTAGTGTGATGAAAAACCCACTTATAGATCTTCTAGATTCCTTATAAGAGGCCCAATCTGCATCGCAAAATGCAAGCAAGGAAAATGATGGTGCTGCTGAGAGAAGGATCCCCTGTCCCGAATCTGAGCTCAAGTATTTTAACACTCACAATGCAGCAGTGAAATGAGAAAGCCATGGTCTCTACATGTACTAGCTGAGAGTAAGAACTGCAAATGAGAGATCCGGGCGAGCATTAGTCAGATAGTTAAATTTCCCAACTAGATGGCGAAACACTATGGAATTTGCAAATGATGCCCATCATCAGCTTGAAACTTAGAGGAAAGATCAAGAGGAGAGGTGACTCGAGCTGAGTGATAAACGACAAACTCCTGCAGCATGTCCAAGGTAAATTTCCTTTGACTTACAATGAAACCTTCTTTTTCTCACAGAATTTCCGTTCCTAGAAAATAATGTATATTTCCTAGATTTTTTACCTTGAACTTAGTAATTAGAAAACCTTTGATATGTTGAATTTCTTCCAAGTCATCTCCAGTAAGTAGAATATCATCTACATACACAGCTAGAATAGATATTAGGTTTCTTATACGTTTAAAGGACAAAGAGTAATCATTTAATGATGAAGAATACCCCTTAAAAGTCAAAGCCCCTGCAAGCCTGGCATACCATTGCCTAGAAGCTTGCTTCAATCCATATAGTGATTTCCTTAGAAAACAAACATGCTTAGGACTAGGAGGTGTTAAACTTGATGGAAATCTGATGTACACCTCCTCCAGAAGATCATCATACAAGAATGCATTGTTGACATCCAATTGAGACACATGCCAGTCTCTTTTGGCTGCAATCATGAGTAAACACCTTATAGTTGTCATTTTCACTACTGGTGAAAAGGTCTCACTATAATCTATTCCTTCTCTTTGTACATCCCCCTTGACCACTGATAAGTGGGGATTTTAACCTATTATTTGCTCTTTTTTACTTGCATTTTTGGCCGAAAATGCGTGAAGGTATTCCCGAAAACTAATGTAATATGCTTGCTAGCAGGGATTATTCACAATAAGCTAAAGTAGTCATAATCAACACATAAAGGAGTCAAAACTTGAACAAAGACCAAGACTGGGCCATGAGCTATGGAACGTGTATCGCGACAAAAAAGTGCGGCCACGAATGTGTCAACGCGGAAGCGGTCATTAATTCGCGGACTGCGAAATGGAGAATCAAAGAAGTGGTTTTTGGGCAAAGACATCAATACGGGCCGCATCAGAAATTGGCAGCCGCAAAAGTACCATTGCGGCCGCGATTGGAATTTCGCGGACCGCATTTTATAAGGTTCAAAGAGCTCACTAAATAGGAAAAAATGTTAAGAGCGATCCGCGTCAATATTACGCGACCACGGAAGGCTCTATCGCGGACGCGGTGAAAATTATGTTGTCCAAGTACCAGATGTGAAGAAACGCGAACCCCGATCAAAATTATGCAGCCGCGATAGCAAGTGTGCAGTCGCGGTTAGAATTACGCAACTGTGAAATCTCCGCAAGGGCTGTTTTGTCCGAAAATTTTAGCCTAGTATAAATAGATCTTTTTCGCATTTTTAGGTTATATTTTGTTTTTGCCGAGTACGTGAAATGACTGTAAATACCATTTTGGGCAATTTTGTAATAGATTCAACTTTTAACATTAGCTTTTCATCTTTTAATCTAGTACTATGGATTTTATCTTTATTTCATCTTTGATTTCTGTTATTTTCATGAGTAGCTAAACTCATAGCTAGGGTTGTGACCCAACCCTAGTGTGGGTATTTGATGGGTCTTGAATTTTACGGCTTGAATATGTATGGGTTAGTAGTATTTAGTCTAGTTCTTGCTAGAACTATGGAATTAGTGGTTGCAAACATTGATTTATGCATTTATGACTTAGTCTCTACTTGAGAAAGAGGGACTAAGTCTAGGAAACTAGACTAACAAGGAATTGTGGTGAACTCAAGAAATTGATAGCCCCAACTAAAGGGTTAAACCTAGAGATAGTAATACCCAACGTGAGCTAATATCACTTGTATTGCATGAATACCCAGTTGGACTTGAGAAAACCAAATTGGAAAAAATCACTCAAACTACCAGAGGTATAGAATGAGTACCCGAGTATGATAGCTATATTACAACCCCAATTAATTACATGATTGTCCTAGATTCTTTCTACCCGTTATATATCCATCTAGGTAGAAGTTACTACCCTAGTCCCTTTTAACCTTTGAAAAATCTACATCAAAAACATTATACTTAATTTCAAATATTGCATGCTATAGAATGGAATTACCAGTAGAAAATAAAACCAACCATTTGTGGAAGTGTACGTAAGAGCAAAACTCACATCTCTACTTGGATATAAACCTAACTTCAAACAAATTAACTCCATGTGGATTCGATCACGACCTTGTTGGGTAAAACTGCATCGACCATCCTTGCTACTCAATAGTAGTGCAGGCTTGGACCCAATCAATTTTTGGCGTCGTTGTCGGGGAGTTAGGCGGTTTTAGCTATATATTTGAGTATTGCGTGTTTTGTTTTTCTTTCCTTCCGTTTTTCTAATTTGTGTGTGAATTGATTTTAGGTACCAAATGCCTCTTAACAATGATTTCCTCAAAAACTTGCCATTGGGGAGGCGGTAGATGATGATAACGTGGATGTGATTCTACCCGAACCTCAAGCATAAAGGAGAGGTGGACCACCTCATGATAATATTCCAAACCCTCCCCCACCTCCAGCAAGGGCAGTACACCGGGTGTTGCCTAACGAAGGCTATCCAAGTGCAATAGTCCCGCCCCGGATTAGGGCAGATAACTTTCAAATAACCAATGTCATGCTTACACTCTTAGAACGGAGGGGATTCACTGGAGCTCCACACCAAAATGCTTACAAGCATCTCAAGGGTTTTGTTGACACGTGTTGGGGGAGCAAGTAAACCAACGTTTCTGAGGACGCACTGAGGTTAAGGATATTCCCATTTTCTCTAAGCGGAAAGGCTTTGGATTGGCTAGAAAGGTTGCCCAACCATTCCATCACCACTTGGGATGAGTTGGTCGAGAAGTTCATTACAAAGTTCTTTTCTACAGGACATATGGCAACGCTAACAGATGAGATCCTTGCTTTTAAACAAGATCCAAATGAACCACTTCATGAGATTTGGGAAAGGTATCGGACGATGGTTAAAGAGTGTCCGAATAATGATATGACCGAAGCCATGATCCAACAAACATTCTACCGTGGCATAAATACAACAACCCAATGTGTGGTTGTCACGACCCCAAACCCAGACTCGGTCGTGATGGCGCCTCTCGTGGAGACAAGGCCAACCGACACTTCCCATATCCAATTATTAATAGTTAAACCATAAAAAATAAATCTAAATCATGATAAAATAATCCAAAGTTAACAGATAATAGCATAATTCGAGAAAATAACCCAACACAGCCCGATACCAGGGTGTCACTAGTCATGAGCATCTAGCAAAATGGAATACTCCAAATATAACTACATAGTTTAATATAGAAAACTAAGAACATAAGGGACTAAGATAGGGAAGAGCTCCGGGCTACGAACACCAACAGCTACCTAGAGACTCCTCAGATCCGCCTGAGCCGGAAATGATCAGCACTTGGGAGCGGGACCAGATACGCCTGAATCTGCACACTGGGTGTAGGGAGTAAAGTGAGTACTCCAACTCAGTGAGTAATAATCATAAATAAAGACTGAAAGTAGGAAATCACGTAAGGCACAAAAAGCATGCTATAATGAAGTAGTAAAACCATTTAAAACAGTAAACCAGTGAAAACTAGGTAAAATCCTTTAACTCAAAACTTACTTCATGAAAAGCCTTTTTCAACAATTAAGCAGGTAATTGATAGTCAATTATCAAAATAAACACATAAAGGTTCGCCCCTCGGGGACAATATCAACAAATCTACCCCTCGGGCAACATCTCAGAACAGTACCAGCCCCTCGGGCAATCACATAGAACAATACCAGCCCCTTGAGCTCAATCTCACATCACAATAGGTACCCGCGCTCACTGGGGGTGTGCAGACTCCTGGAGGGGACCCTTACGGCCCAAGCACAATATCAAGCCACCTCGTGGCATCATCACTAGGCCTTCGGCCTCATATCAATCAAGCCACCTCGTGGCATACATAATTCAGGCCCTCGGCCTCATAATCAGTATCAAATGTTTACTCACAACATAGGCCCTCGGCCTTACTCAGTCAAAATCCTCACAAACAATTGGGGCAATAGTAAAACATGATTCTCAGCACAAAAATATCATTTAAAAGATCATGTAAGTGTTTAAAACAGAGTAAACATGGCTGAGTACAAAAATAGTGAAATATAACATGACTGAGTTCAAGTATAAAGTCAAAACAGTGAGGAAAATACCAGTAAAAATCCCCGAATGGTTCAAATAGTTGGCACAAGGCCCAAATATGGCATTCAGTCCAAATCATGATGATAACAAATAGGTTTCAGTCAAATACGCGGTAAAATAGTCATTCGGGATGGACAAAGTCACAATCCCCACCTGTGCACAACCCCACGCTCGTCATCAAGCGTGTGCGTCACTTCAATATAGCACAACGATGTGCAATCCGGGATTTCAACCCCTCAGAATATCATTTACAATCATTACTCACCTCGAACTGGTCAAATCTCTAGCTTATGACGCATTTGCCCCTCGAATCTACTTCCACTCGCGTCGAATCTATCCAAAATCAGAACGAGGACGTCAAAATATGCTAAGGAAATGAAGCCCAAGAGAAAATAATCAAAATATGACACAAATCCCAAAATTACCAAAACCCAACCCCCCGGGCCCACGTCTCGGAATTCAATAATTTTTACATCAATAGATTCCTTATCTCCCCACGAGTTCATACATATCAAAAGTTCTGAAATCCGACCCCAAATGGTCCTTCAAATCCTCAATTAAAGGTCTAAGTTTCCAAGCCCTAGTTTCCCTAATTTTCACCCTTAATTCCCATAATTTCTAGCTCTAATCCGTGAAGTAATAGCATGGGAACGAGTTTTAGGTCCAAATTCCTTAACTCAATAAAGTTCCCTTGAAATCCCTCTTTCAAATCATCCAAAAAGCTCCAAAGCCTAAGTCAAAATGGTGAAATAGCTCAATTCACGAAGGCCACAATTTATACCTTCTGCCCTGACATTTTCGCATCTACGGTACCGCATTTGCAGTTTATTATCCGCTTCTGTGGAAATCACTTATCCGGCCAAAAATTGCATCTGCGATCACTCTTCCGCATCTACGACATTGCAGATGCGGTCACCCTAATCGCTTCTGCAGTCGCTGCTCATCAGGCCCTTTTTCTCTTCTGCGACCGATCACCCGAACGTGCGGCATCGCACCTGCAGTCCCCAATCTGCAGGTGTGGAAATACCAGAAGTTGCAAAAGTTCAGCAGCTATAAACATTCCTCAAACTTCCCGTCAACCATCCGAAATCACCCCGAGGCCCCTGGGACCTCAACCAAAAGCACAACCATGTCCCATTACAAACTTGTTCCAATCTTCAAAATACCTCAAACAACATCAAATCAACCAAAACACATCGTATTCAAGCATAACTTTCTAAAATCTTCCGAATTCTGCTTTTGATCAAAACCCCAACCAAACCACGTCCGAATGACCTAAAATTTTGCACACACATCAAAATGACACGACGGAACTTCTGCAACTCTCGAAATTCCATTCCGACCCCTATATCAAAATCTCGCCTACCAACCGAAAAACGTCAAAATATAACCTCGCCAATTCAAGCCTAAATCTACTCCAAACCTCCAAAACCCATTCTAATCATGCTCCTAAGTC